AAAAATTGATGCCGGGCGCGGTGGCTCCCTCCTGTAATCCCAGCTACTGGGGAGGCTGAAGCGGGAAAATCGCCTGAATCCCGGAGGCGGGGGTTGAGGTGGCGGAGATTGCGCCGCTGCCCTCCAGCCTGGGCGGCACATCCGTCTCAAGACAGAACAAAACAAATAAAAAAACTATGCCCGGGGGCGCTTTTCTCCCTCCTTCTTCGTCTTTTCATCTCTTTAATCATAGTACAAAATGAGAGCGAATGTGAACCGCCTGTTGATGTGTACGCTTTTATTTGGGTTCCAGAGACCCCGTTGAGATCCCATTCTTCTCCCCCTCCCTTCCCATGTCTTTGTCACTTTCCTTCTGCCGTTGCAATCGCCTTAGGCGATAGGGAGGCCCGCAGCACAGAAATCGGATATAAGTGGAGGCGACCCATTGGGTTACGTTTTTACTTTCTATATGTGCAGAAATAGGATAGAAAAAGATGATGAGGTGGAAATCTATGTTACTTGATAATTAGACTTCGGTACTGAGAGTTCGCACTACTACTTGGGAGTGCTGGGATCGAACCCAAGGCCTCACACACACAAAGTACACGCTCTACCACTGAGCTACACTCACTACTGGAAAGTGCTTTTTGTAATAATTTTCAAGAGGTAACTTTATTTTTCTGAGACAGTATTATGGAGCGTCTGCAGCTGCTGTGAGTAGAAGACACTCGGTGCTAAGGCGGGAAACAATTCTTCAGAAGACTGTCCCAGCTACTGGGGAGGCTGAGGCAGGAGAATCACTTGAACCCGGGAGGTGGAGGTTGCAGTGAGCGCAGATCGCACCACTGCACTCCAGCGTGGGCATCAGAGCCAGTCTCCGTCTCAAAAACACATAAAAAACAAAACAAACAAACACTTTCTAGGTTGAAGACTTTAAATAATTTATGTAATGTCAGCACCTCATGGAAGACTTCAGTGGACTATGCAACCAAAGGAGAGAGTGGTACACATATATGCACATTACCTTTATCGGATTTTCAAAAAACAGCAAAATATTGGAGATCTATACACTCTTCTAGGATTGGCATGCAAGTGTTGTGTAAGGCAGAACTGATTAAAAAAAAAAAGACCTGCCGAAACCCGGGATTGAACCAGGGACCTTTAGATCTTCAGTCTAACGCTCTCCCAACTGAGCTATTTCGGCTCCTCTGAAACTATCCTTTCAGCTATTTCTTCAAAATGTAAAAACTGTCATTTGTAGGGTCAATATATTTTCCAATGCATAATTCTGTTGTCTTCAATATTACGCATCATTTACTCATCCATTCACCCCAAAAATATAGATTCTGCTACGATTTATGTCTGAAAATAGGACCCAATTTTAAAGACAATGACTGGGTTAGCAAAAGTCGAGGGGAAAAAAGGCAAAGGCAAAGAATAGGTCAAAGCAGGAAGGTGCCCCCCTACAAGGTCACTGCTCAGAAAACTAACGGAATTCAAAAGAATATTTTCTAGTCTTTTCCTTTTCTCTTCCCTGGGCTTTTTTTTTTTTTTTTTTTTTTTTTTTTTTTTTTTTTTCTTGCTCTTCAACAACACAGCAGAAAGGAACAGAGGATTACTGGGCACGGTAATGCGGTGGCGGGTTTACAGCTTCCGATTAAAGAAATCCTGAGTGAGACAATTCTTTTTCGCTATGCTTTTCACTCGTCTGGTGCTGACGCATCCACCTTGGGTGGTACAGAGACCCAGGGAGTGGAAATGGAAGCTATAACGTGTTTATTTTAGTGTGACTATGGAAAATTCATTTTTAAAAGGAGAAAAGCACAGGATGGCGAGAATTGTGAAGAACAGATAAACGTTTATGGTTTTGAACGCTATGTGAGGCAAGGACTCGCTGCCACGGAGCCACACCTGTCTCACTACAGACATATTGTGAAGATCTTCCTTGAAGCATTAGTCATATTTCTGAGGGGTCTTCAAAGGTGTAATACGTTAGCCAGATGGAAAATCCACTGTCTCATATCTCACTATTTCTTACTCTAAACTACATCCACTGAAGCTACTAGGAGAAATGTAAGAGAATCATAAACCAAATCACACTGTTTCTGCTTCTAGAACATTTCATCCCATCCGTTTATTCTGAGGTTTCCTCTCCAGCAAACTGCCTGGGGGCACTTTCTCCCACTGCCAACAGGGGTCTTCAACCTGCTTTTCTGCATTTCTTCCCTTTCATCTGCTTACAAAGTTTTTGAAGCTCCCTCCTCTTTAAGAAGAGATGAAGAGCCACAGTCTACGAGAAGATATTTCAATACTTATATTTTACTAAGGATCCTTATCAGGAATATGTTAAGAACTTCTACAAAGCAGTAATAAAAAGACTAAAACTTCAATAAGAAAGAGCAAATTAACATGTACTTAACATGAAATGGCTATCGAGTAATATAAAATATGCTTGACATCATTTGCTATAAAGGAAATGCAAATTAAAAACACAACAAGGCTGGGTGCATATACTCCCAGCACCTTGGGAGGCTGAGGCGGGTGGATCGCCTGAGGTCAAAAGTTCAAGACCAGCCTGGCCAACATGGCGAAACCCTGTCTCTACTAAAAGTACAAAACTGTAGATGGTCATGTACCCCTCTAGTCCCAACTACTCAGGAGGCTGAGGCACGAGAATCTCTTGAAATCGAGAGGCAGAGGCTACAGTGACCAAGACTGTACCCTGCACTCTAGCCTGGGCAGCAGATTAAGCCACCATCTAAAAATAAAATAAATAAATAAAATGAAATAAAAACCCCACAAAATAATACTACTCTTCATCAGAACCACTTAACCTAAAAAGTGGATAATATCAAGTGTTGCTGAGTATGTGAAGCAATTGGAACACTCATACATGGCTGATGAGGCTGTAAACTGCTACATCTACACTGGGAAACTACCTGAAAATATCAACTAAAACTAAATATATATATATTTATTTTATACATACATTATATATAAATATATATAATGTATATATAAAACTTATGACCCCTAAACTCCACAATTACATTTATACCCGAGAAGTGCATGAGCATTTCCCTTAAAGGACATGTACCAGAATGTTTATAGCAACATTAAACATTTCAACCAAAAACTAGGGGTGCTGCCAACGTACCTGGACAGTAAAATGAATTAATAAATCATGATGTACGGTAGTCATACAATGGAATACTCCAGAGCAATAGAAAATAACTACCGCTACTAGCAACAATATACAGCTAGTGCTCGATTTACGACCACGATTGGGTCCGACAGACCGGTCGTAACACGATTTGGTAGTAAGTTGAGTAGACTATATGCACGCGGAGATGGTAGTGCTGCCGGAAGCTGGTCCGCACTGTCGTATGCCCAGCTGGGCAACGTTTGCGCTGCCAGACGCGGAGCAGTCGTGGCTAGTGATTGTGGTCGTAAAGTTGAATGGTCGTAAGTTGCATAGGTCGTAAGTCGATCAATACCTGTATAGAAAACGTGGCCACGCAGGTGGCTCACGCCTGTTATCCCAGCACTTTGAGAGGCCAAGGCCAGTGAGGTCAGGAGTTCAAGGTCAGCAGGACCAACACGGAGAAACTCCATCTCTACCAAAAATACAAAATCAGCCAGGCATGGTGGCCCATGCCTTTAATCCCAGCTACTTGGGAGAGTGAGGCAGGAGAATCGCTTGAACCTGGAAGGTGGAGGTTGCAGTGAGCTCAGATCATACCCCTGTACTTCAATCTGGGCAACAAGAGCAAAATTCCATCTCAAAAAAGAAAACAAAAAAGAAAAGAAAATGTATCTAATTTTGTTTTGTTTTTTACAAAAGTTGAATGAAAGAATACATACTCAAATGAGTAAATATTTGCTATGGTTTGAAAGTGTCCCCTCCAAAGCTTAGGTGTCACCATGTGATAATTATCAAGAGATAGGACCTTTAAGAAGTGATTAAGCCATGAGGGTTTCTTTTTTTTTTTTTCCCATTTATTTATTTTATTGCTCCTCATGTATAACATCAGGTACCCTTATAATAGGACTTCACAAAGGAAGTTCGTCTCTATATTACCCTCAGTTTTCTGTCACGTGAGGACACAACAAAAAGGCCACCACCAGACTTGATCTTGGATTTCCCAGCCCCTAGAACTGTGAGAAAATAAGTTTCTGGGTGGGAGTCAGTGGCTCACTCCTGTAATCACTTCACTTTGGGAGGCCAAGGCAAGCGGATCACCTGAGGTCAGAAGTTCAAGACCTGGCAAACATGGTGAAACCCCATCTCTACTAAAAATACAGAAAAATTAGCTGAGCATGGTGGCTAATTAGCTGAGTGTGGTGGCCAGGAAGTATCTAGAAGGTCCTTCCTTTTTTTCTTGTTTTTAAATTTAAGTCTTCATTTACGTAAAATAAAATGCATAAAACCTATTCAGCTTATGGCTTATTATATATATAATCAAAACTCAAACCAAGATACTGAAGTTTTCAGCACCCAAGAGCTGCCTTTTGCCTCACCCCAATTGTTGAAACTCTCTGGCCTCTATCTCTGTAGATTATTTTTCTTATGTTTTAAATACTATAAATGGAATCACATACTATCATCTTAGTCTATTTTGGGCTGCTACAAAATCACTCAAGACTGGTAATTTGTAATGAACAGAAACTTCTTTTCTTTTCTTTTCTTTTTTTTTTTTTTTGAGACAGAGTTTCACTCTTGTTACCCAGGCTGGAGTGCAATGGCGCGATCTCGGCTCACCGCAGCCTCCGCCTCCTGGGTTCAGGCAATTCTCCTGCCTCAGCCTCCTGAGTAGCTGGGATTACAGGCACGCGACACCATGCCCAGCTAATTTTTTGTATTTTTAGTAGAGACGGGGTTTCACCATGTTGACCAGGATGGTCTCGATTTCTTGACCTCGCGATCCACCCGCCTCGGCCTCCCAAAGTGCTGGGATTACAGGCTTGAGCCACTGCGCCCGGCCCTTTTTTCTTTTTTGAGACAGAGTTTCACTCCTGTCGCCCAGGCTGGATTACAAGTGGCGTGAGCTCGGCTCACGGCAACCTCTGCCTCCTGAGTTTAAGCAATTCTCCTGCCTCAGCCTCCAGAGTA